TTTGATGTTAATATGATCAGTTATTTGCGACCATGGATTATTTCAAGAGAAGCAATCATATAGCAGCAGTATTAACAGTAGTAGACCATTTGGAGTTAGAAAAGACTTTGAAAGTATTTAATCCCAATTTTTCTTCAACTCTGAAATTCCTTTTATAGTAATAGTGAATAAATAACCATCATTCCCACCAATCCATCTATACAGCCTCAGTCTGGGCACATGCACTAGATCCTGAAAGCAGTTATTCCATTTTTGGATAACTCTGGTAAGCAAATACTCTCCTTTATTGAGCTGAAATATTCTTTAAACTTTTCATCCCTGTCCATAACCTGTCCTCCTTACCAACACAGAACAAATACATACTTACTTTCACGTGAGACAGTATGAAGGTGAGGCCTGGAAAGGTTGCAGCTATTTTATGGCCAGTAGGAGGTGACCAGCAGGATCACAGAAATGCCAACCCAGCACGCTTATATTGTGCAGCTGCTGAATTGGACTTAACAACCAGTAACCTTTTAGTTTCCAAACAATGAATTTCTTTGAGATTACGCCACTAATACTCAGAGCTTTTCCTACTTGAAACAGAACATGAGGAAATGGATCCAGAAGAGTGGTCACCATTTGATTGTGCTTCCCTGGAGATTTGGTAATTTGTCAAGACTTTTCTTATAGTGTGGGTCCCAGAATAGGCCCTACTCCACAAATCTGTCCAGGATCTATTAGTGCCAAAGATTTAAACGCTATTCCGCTGTTAATGTAGCGTAATATGATTAGGCTAGTGATTAAAGAAATTATATTTAATATGTAATCAACTAAACCCTCAGTTATTTTCTCACTACCTGTAACATCTCTCTCTCTCCATATATATTTTATTTATGCAACAGAATTTTTTAAAAACATTAATAAACCTGCAATGAATTCAGCACAACATAAAAACCACATTTCTATTGAATGAATTATTTTCTGTGATGCAATGACAGTCTGCAATTGTTGACTTTAAATGGCTTTGTAAGAAATAAAGGATGAGCTAATGTACAATAAGAATGAAATAATTATGACAGCAACTACAGTAAGGAAAGCTCAAATAGACCAGTGTTTAAATGCTTGTCCCCCACCATTTCCTGGCTTATGACCTTCATAAGCTACTTAACCTCTTAAACTGTAGTGCCTTCATCTGCAGGATGAATGTAATGATACCTACAGTTGTGAGGAAGACAGAAGCCTCTCTCACAGTATCAGGAAGTGACTGTCCCTTGAGGCTCCATTCCTATTCCCCCCTTTTTTTCCCCACTTCTCTTACAGTGTTCCAATTATTTCTGCTTTGAAAGTTTCTTGACATATGTCTCAAACCAAAAATGGTTAGTCATCTCAGCCCGCCCAAAGAAAGGCCATCTGAAGCATCATGATGATAAAGAGACTTAACAGGCGGCACAGAAATGCAAAAATAGGATTGCTGGCACCAGCTACAAAAGATTGAGATGCATAGTCCACCCAGCAGCCCCAGAGCCAAAAGACACCCTCCCTTTTCTTGGGCTTCTGCCTGTCTTCACTGGTGGAAACATCACTCAACTTGGGCCTAGAGAGGAGGAGGTCCTGGGTTCTTGGTCAGGGGCTCTGGGGACTTAATTAAGACTTATGATTTTTTTAGATTATAAGAGATAAATATGTATGTAGCCATCAGAAATTTTTGAAAATATGGAAATATAGATTTATGTATTGTGGAAATATGAAAATATGGAATTACAGAAATATAAAATCACTTAAGCATGCTAGCATTTAGTATATAGCTTCATTTTTCTTCTTCAAATTAGGGGCTTTGGGCAAGGGGGGCACTGGCCAGATTTGGGAGATTTTGGAACTTGTATCACCTTTGTTTCCAGCATTGATCTGAAAATACTAGAAAGAAAATAACGGGCCTCAGAGAATGGGAACTAGATAAGTGGCTGATGTCATGTAGTTCTGGGTTCAGTAGGGTCTTCTCTAGGTATTCAACAAGATTCTTACCTATCTTTCTAAGTTGTCCAGCAGGCTTGATATGATCAAGGGAAGGTGACAATTCTGGATTTATTTTATTTTCTTAACATGAAGACTACATTTGGATGGCACTGAAATAAGTACATGAGGTTGAGACAATGAAGAATCTAGCACCATGCTAGCATTAAAAAACTTGAATTTACAAAATGAAGCTATTATTCCCAAATAGGTAAAATTAAGTGGAAACAAAACTTTTGGATTCCAGAAAAAGAGGGATGCTTTGCTTCTTAAATTACTCCAGTATTTAATTGGCCTCTAAAGGTATACATCTGGACCTAGAGGACAAATGGCCCTGTATAGTCATTAAAATGTATTACTAAATCCTTTCATTAAAAAACATGATATCAAATACCAAATAAAGAATGTTACTTCAAAACTCATTTGAGCACCTCTATGGGCACAGTTTGCCAAATGAGTCTTTCCATATGAGGTACAATGTAAAATAGTAATAAAATTATTTCATAGTGAGTGATTATATTAAAGCTATGTTACAATTTATGCAGTCAGAACAAAGTAGCAAGCAACCAGTGATTATCTTGTAAGTACCTCTGAAATTACACTTCTGTTGAATATATTATTATATGTAGTGCAATGACAGCCTGCAATTGTTAACTTCATGTGGGTACTTTTTATAGAATAAATCAAAAGCCAACGACTTCACAAGTGGTCATTTGTTTCTGGTAGAGATTTGGGAACTGTGTGGGCATATGAAGCTAATTTCTATGACAAGGAAAACCAACTCAAAGGGAAAAAAGCAGACTTTGTACAAAAGCATCTGTGTTTTTCATAGTCTTTGGGTATTCATATCTGTACCTTAGAAACCCCTGAAATATGTTCTTTTAGTGAGTCTTATGTAATTTCACACGTGATGGTAAGCCCAGGCCAATTTGTTAGCACCGATGACCGATTGTGGAGCTGGAGGTCAAGATTTAGAAAGTGTCTCTCATGAATACCAACCATAGCAGCTGCAGCAGCTGTGCAGCAGCAAAAGAATCCTGGGGGGTCAACAGGAACACTGGTGGCCAGGGAGCAGAAAGGCTCTCCCTCTTCCTCTTCCACCCCCCAGGAGCTCCCGCCTGATGTCAGAATTAGGAGGGATCTGCCCCAGGCTGGTTCAGTGCCTCTACAGAGTTCCACCCTCCGGGGAAGACTCCATTACCCTTATTCTGCCATGTCTTGGTCCAGATAAAGGCAAACCCCCACTTTAAGCTAAACCACACTATGACAACTATAACTAATAAATTAAGAGATGGCAAGTCCTTTTTGCAACTAAATCACAGTATTCAAACTAAGAAGTATTAAGCTGCATAGTAGGCTAGGTGCTTGCGAACAAGTGTCCATTGTCTCTAAGACTTGGTGGTCTAAGATAATGCTGAAGAAACAAGCATGGGTGCGAGTTTAGACTGACCCCCTAAAGACAACGTAAATCATAGGAGATATTAAGTGACATAGTCATATTCGAGTTCTTGTTGAGTTCACACCATATGCAAGTAAATAATGGCAAAAATATATGTAAGGTGGCCATCGTATACATGAGAGCAGATGATGATGAACTAGATTGGGGTGGTTTGTGATGGACATTCAAGAGTTACCTAGATAGGAGACAGGGTTAGCTGGCATTTCTTTCCTGAACAACTTAGTAGGTAGTAGTGGCATTCACTAAATAAAACAGGTTAGTAAGAAATCTTTTAAATCATAGCTTCTCGTAAACCATTAAAAATAATGTTATTTACTTTACCCAAATTAAATGTAGAAGCAAAGGCTCAAAAATATGAATATATATATATATATAATTTGTGTGTGTGTGTGGGGGGGCGGGGATAAAAAACAGACGTGTTTGCCCATAGTTTTCAGTCAAATGTTAACCACACTTCTCAGCACCTTAACACTTGACAGGGGCTGCCTCTTCTACAAAGAAACCTGAGGTGGTCACTCAATTTGGGAGCTTTTTATTCAGTAACAATGCCATGTGATATATTGGCTCTCGAAAGCTGGTGCCCTGCACCAAGGCTCTGAGCTCAGAGTGAATGGTGATGACTTACAAGCCCAGGGGAATACTTTTTCTATCTCTTGCCTGAACCTATATTTTCCTAATAGACATAGTTCCAACATCAGACAGAGACAAGGAGGTTCCATCAGCAGAAGACAGGTTTCTTTTTCCCTTTGGAGGACTAGGTCCCCACTAGAAATGGATGAGTATCCTAATTACTGCTGAGAGCCGCCAGATGACCGTGGAAGCCCAACCCCATTGAAATCAGGCCTTGGGAAGTTATTCTAGTTAATGTTTCTGACTTCATTCATGACTTTTGCCTCTTCAGTAGTTCCCAGGCTGGTCTTTGCTTGACACCCATGTTGAAAGGCATGCCTCCCGCAATTTAGGTTTTGAGTTTACTTCCCTGAGCATACCACGGCAGGTAGTGACCACCCTTCTTTTATAAACTGAGTTCTCAGCCCGAATCTCATCTATGAATCAGTTTCATTTTTGCTGAGTTTTTCCAAGTGTGTGTGCATTCTAGCCTTAGCCAGTCCTGGGCACCTAGTTCTGATACCTCTTTCAAACAATCTTCAATTAAACTTCCTTCTGGAACTTACCAGTCCTATTTCCAAGATCAACCTTAGCTCAAATCCAAGACTTTCATGTGGAGATGAGACAGTTACTAAATACATCATGTATATTTTACTGTTAGACTACCTGGAACAATATTATGATTGCCAGTAGCCCCCCAACCCAACCCCATAGTCAGTAACAAGATTTTGTGTGAAGTTTACAGCCACAAGAAAATTAAACAACTAATTTGTTATTTATCTATAGACTTAGCAAATATTAACACTGTACAGTATTAATTCAGACATGAGTACGAAAAAAATGTATAACAGAATAAAGCACATTTTAGTGGGGTAAAAATTTGAAGGTTACTGAAAGTACACAGAATGAATTAAGATACTCTTATAAATACGCCACTTACCTCCTTCCACCTGTTGGCTTTCCATGAAGGGCATCTGACAGATCTACAAGCTTTGTGAGTTCGAGGTTTCTGTAGATGACTGCAATATTTTTCTTCTAATTTCCTTTGGACTTGGTCAATACAAAGCACCTCACGGTACTTTAAACCTTTACCACAAGAAGCTGAACACTAGAAAACAAATATGAATGTACTTGATTCATTTTATCTTAAATTTATCTACAAGGAGCACAAAATGAAGCAATCAAAACGTTACTGCTTTGCTATTTTCATTAAGATGTACTTTGATATTTCTAATTAGTGGAATTTAAAAGTTGTCAATCTGCCCTGGATTGATGTTGATATAAGGTATTCATTTATTCTATGAAAAATATTATCTACATTATACCAAGCACTTTCCTGGAACATAAATGCTTTTAGATCTTTGAAGGTTAAAGACTATCTGCAGTTAACTTCCATTATCACACACGATTCAACAAAACTCGCTTTCAGTTTTGTATAGTTACCACCTATTCTGTTTTTTAACCCCATGTGCTCTTCCACGCTGCAAAGTATGTTTTGGACATTCAAAAAAACAAAGCAGTAATCTCTCAATTCAGGAAACTGTGATTGAGAAAGCAAAAAATGTATTTTTTTAAATGCAATTCAGTTCAGGTTTGTCTTTTTGCATTAACCTGAAGAGGTATCTCTTTCCCATCAACCTTCCAATATATTTAGTACAAAATAACTAAAATCTTGTAAAGCTATAAGTAAAAATAATTCTTTTAATTCATTTTTCAACTGGTTGCCATTTAATGAGTGAGGCCAGTGCAATAGACTGGACTGGAAAGAGCTTAGGCTCTGCCACTTTCTAGCTGGGTAACCTCAGGTACCTTTCATTACCTGTCCAAGCCCCAGTTTTTTCATTTATAAATTTATAAGATGGGGATAACACCAATATTACAGGTTTATTATATGATTAGCATGAGCTAAAGAATATGAAATGTCTAATCCAGTTCTATTACATGTGGTGCATCTTCAGTAAATAGACGTTTCCTCTTCTACTCCTTCATAGAGTCTCAGAGAGGATGTTGACAACTGTCAGCATGATATATGTATCAGGGAAAAGTTAAGCCAAGAAGACACAAATTGCAGACAAGTCCTCTCATATCTGAGACAGCTGTTCACATGTGGTGTTATTAAGAAATACATCCTGGGTTCTGAGAACATTAGATAATATATTAAGCATTTTATGTAGAAAATGGGTTCAAAGACTTAGACAAATACAGATTATTAGATGCTAAAAATATTTTACATTTAAAAAGTTTGGCAATGATTTCCCTTTTTACATTATCTACAGTATAAATCCCATTTGTGTAGACAATTTGAATTGGTGTCTTGATTATTAAGACATATCTGAGATGTACTCTTCCCTTCTCGTTAACACAGACAGTCTTTACATGCCACTGAGAGCACACTTAATTCTGTGAAAATCTCTCTGGGTCTTCCTAAACTGTATTAAGTATACATTCTTTCCTGCTATTGACCTTCTTTTTCTTATTTACTAATATGCTCGACTCTTCCTGGCCACTTATCTTGCTCACTTCCCTATTTATTTACTTTGTTGTTTTAGTTTTCAAAGCGTATAATATTTTACACCCAAAACATCATATATTATCACATATCAAGCATATATTGTCAGGGAGTATAAATACAAGTATCTGTTCACACATAAAAGAATGTTTTTCTCCTAAGGCGTATATTATTTTTTCTAACTTTTAAAGTTTGACCATTTGAACAAAAGAACATTCATTAGTCTCCGTGTTAGCCTGTTTAAAAAAGTAATAACTATTGTGAATATTCATGATATCAACACAGAACTTATGAAAAATGGGGAAATATTATTTTATTCATTCTATGAATATTATTTTCTACCATATACCAAGAATTGCAGATTCATTAAACATCTCTTGCTTTTGCTCTTGATTTATCCTCAGAGAATTTACAATCTAAATGATACATCATCCATTGATAAATGCCACAATAGATCTTAAATAATATTAAACCCAATATAAATCAGAAAAAACACAACACACTGAAAGACACTAAAAACCATTAAAACAATACTATAAACAACAATAATGGAATTAAGACATTCATGAAAACTAGTCATTTCTCTCTGGGGTATTTGGTAAGCACTAAAGTGGAAGGTGATATTTAAACTCAATCTTGATGTATGGCCTTATATATTTTGATATGCCTTATTTAGACATTGCCCAAGTGTCTCTGTTTTGTAAAATTCTCAAGAGTTCATTTAACAATGCCAAGAATCACTCAGGAAATATGAAGTAAATTGTTGATATTCTGATAAGAATAACCAATTCATTTACAAAACTATGTAACATAAGAAAAGACATTAAAGAATCTACTTTAGAATTTGTGTATTTTCTTTATAAGCAATATCTATGAATGAACTGTAAACTTGATTATAGTACACTATAAAGTTGTTCACAAAACTGCATACTCTAACTTAAGGTCCTCTGTTATTCTTTCTCTTCTTCGTTATTCTAATCTGTAACCTAGACTTATTAAACATAGTTTTAAACATATTGCTTTTCTTGTTCTCCAGAACTGACAATGACTCAGAGCTCTTGTCTTCGATAGTAAACCAAAAATTATATTCTTCCTTGATTTCTTGATCCACCAAATTTTAGCGAACATACCTTTTCAACCTTACGCTGTTCCTTTCCAACATGCAACCTTTGCTCTACTTAGGCATAATATACTCACTTTAATGTGACATATCAACCACAGTGCCTTGTTATTATTTCCTTTTACCTTGACTAATCACTTCCCCTTGTGCTTTCTTAATCTGACTTATCCTTAAAGCTCTAAGTCAATTACTTTTCTAGAGTAAATACATGTCAGTCTTTCATTTCTCTGAACTCCTCTTCTGAGCCTTACTCTATTTTTAGCACTTCATCATTTTCAACTTTTGCCACATGTTTTATCTACCCAGCCTTCTGGAGGTCGAGGACTTTTTAGATCACCCACATCACTCACAAAGCGCCAAGTACAATAAATATCAGCTTATTAATTGATGTTGATCTTAAGCAATGTATAAGCAATTCTTATTTGTTTAAAGTAAACCATAAAATAATTTATTAAGACACTTTAAATTCCATGACATATGTGTATTGCTTAATAAACGCAAGTTCCCCTAGGAAAGACAGACAAAAAATACAAAAGAATTGTAACATAAAGTTTGCAGTGGTTACACTTTCAAAGTTATCTTTCCCCACAATCTGAAAAGAAGTACGATATGTTGTGTTGTAAAGATTCCACAAAATAGCCCAATTGGTAGGAATACCCAAATATGGCAGTTCTTTTCTCTGGTACCCAAGCAATCTTTTTCTTTTTTTCCCCCCTGTTTTATATCCCTGATACAATCCTATCCCTTGAGGTTTTATTAACACTGTATGATTCATTTACAGCATTCTTGTCCCAACAGTTTTTCTTAAAAATCACCTCTATCACGTTTAGTTGACATAGTCAAACTCTGAGGTTTTGTCATGACTGTTATGGAACAGCAGAGATAGGAAGAGCCCACTTGAGGAGTGGAGACATTAAATACAAGGAAACTGAATTGAACATTCTTATAAATTAATTGAAGAAAAATATCGTTAAGGAAAACAGAACATTTGAAACAAATGTAGAATTTGAAAGCCTTAAAAAATTAATGGACACTCCAGAGCTGTGCAGGTTGGCTGGCACGTCCAGTTCCAAGGCGGAGAGTTGAAATTAGTTGACTCTAATATAATTAACTTTAGAATGAGTCTATTCTTGTTTCTAAAGCTTAATTATATGTAATTACAGGATAAGATTACTTCTGATATTTGAGGTGTGGATTATTGATTTGTTTGGTTACGTAAGGGTAACTACAGAAAATTAAAATAATTGACTTAATCTGTGAGAGATTCATTGATTAATTCTGGTTACTTAAATTGCTAAACAAAATAAGGAATTAAAAAGCTTATTTAGCTCCAGTTCTAGAAAATAGAAAACCTTGGGGATGTGTGTGTGTGTGTGTGTGTGTGTGTGTGTGTCTGTGTGTGTGTATCTGTGTGTGTGTCTGTGTGTGTGCGTGTGTGTGTCTGTGTGTGTGTGTGTGTGTCTGTGTGTGTGTAGGCTTTCATAAGCCATTGTGTTGATCTGACTCTCTATCCTGACAGTAGTGGGAAACATACTGACACTGAGAGAATTGGTATGTACCCCAATTTGCAATAAAATAGCCCTCAAAAGTAACTCTTGCACTATAACTTAGTCATGCATAAAGTGCCTTTTATAGACTTTACAAGCTGAATAACCATAAGTAACTTTTTATCCTCACTGAACTCCATTTTTCATATGTAATATTGGTAAGGATATCTATTTTATATAAATATTGGGTAAAAGTAAAGAAAAAAAGATTTTTAAAAAGAGAAATACCCACACCCAGAAAACTCTAAAGACATTTATAATGCTATAGCAAAATTTTTAAAAAAGTAATAAAATTAATAAGGAATCCTGCAAAACATAATATTGATTACATGAACGACAAACTTGAAAATGTCTCCCATGATGCAAAAGAAGAAGGTGACATAGAGAACACTGTTTCCTAAAAAATAACTCTGCACATTCCCAGCCCAGGACCTTTGTACATGTCATTTCCACTCACCCTAACATCTTCCTCCATTTCATCCCTACATATTTTTTTTGGTACTGAGTTTTAAATCTCATTCCCTCTACAGAGCCTCCTTTTTTGATGGAGGATATCTGATGTCCAAACCAGAATTTTACATCTCAATATATCTATAATTGCCTATTCCATGTCTGTTTTCCCTGCCAGACTATAAATTTTATTGAGGACAGACACACTGTAGGGGATTATAAAAAATAGAAAGAAACCAGTATTACTTTTTTCCTAATTTTAAGGTTATGAAGTAGTCTATATTTCTTACTCTAAAGCAGGAAATAATTCCTCTAAAAAGAGGAAATAATCCCAGTGCACCATGAACCATAGGATCTTGCATTAATTTATTGAGCAATGTTCTTCTATAACAATAACTATTCCACTGGTGGCACATGAGTTGATTTTAGATGGTACATTTTAAATTTAATGGTTATTTTTCATGGTAGTAATGACCCCTCAG